CTGCTCTAAAATACCCCATATAAAACCCCTAGCAAAGCCCAATCAAAACTACGCCAGGCCGGCCGCATGGAATAGATGGGTTTTCAAGGCTCGGCGGAAGAGGCGCAGGTCCGTAGTTGTACGTAGGTCGGGGGGCAGGTCATTCCAGAGGGCAGGAGCTGCCACAGAGAAGGCTCTCCCCCTGGGGGTCGCCAGCCAGCATTGACTGCTTGCATAGTATAATTGGTGAGTACTATTTAGCAATATAAGCTTGTGATGGTAAATGATGAATTAAATAAATGTAAGCTCCAAAACTGGAACTAAAGAGAGGGGTGATCACATTGAGAATACACAGCCCTAGCTTTGATCCAATGATGATTTGAAAGAGGTTTTTCAGAATGAGCAGAGCGCAAGGGCACAGCTCTTCAAACTGGAAACCTCACTACTTTAATTAGTCAGTTTAGTTTAGTTTAGTTTAGTTTAGTTTAGTTTAGTTTAGTTTAGTTTAGTTTAGTTTAGTTTAGTTTAGTTATTAAAATTATTTGCTATGCATCTCATATCAGGCCACATAAAAACAACCATGTTTTTAATATGATTCATTAATACAGCCATTCTTACTCCAGGCTCAGATAAAAGATGTAGTCATTTTAATGTCAAAAACATTAGCTGTGTCTTTTATGAGCTAGCTGTAGCAATTTTTAGCATCTGACATTCTTTAGGATCATGCAGGAGTCTGAAAAAAGAAGGGGCTGTTTCAAATGGAAACTTTTGGTTCCATGCATTCTGAAACATTCTTTCAAATAATTTCCAAAACATACACATCCACCATAGACATATAATAGAACTTTAGAATATCTTAGCTAATGTAATTGGGCACATGGTTATCGTGACATCCATTTTGCTTGGAATTCTGGTAGTTGTAGTCTCAAAAGATCTAGAAGGCAGTAGCAGTTGTCTAGATTGAGATAAAGAAAGCTGAGATGATAGAGACCATGTGCGAATGTAGAGGAGATAATGAAAAGTGGTCTTACCCCTAAAAAGACATTTGGGGATGGGCAGCAACCACTGTGGCAGCTATTTTGCAAAACCACCCACCACATGCCTCCAAAGTTGTAGGTTGTCCACTGACCTCCAAAACATTGTCTGCTTTTAATCCACAGCTTGATCCAACTTGACTTAGGCCAAGCTACTTTTGGAAATGTAATCTGGGGAAGAGTCAGCACATACCTTTATTATACAGAGTTCCATCAAAGTAATAGCTCCCTGTGTAGATTCCTGTGGCATGCTCTATTAAATGGCGAAGCCATGTGTTCCCAGCTCCTGGGAAGCTCGACAAAGCAACAAGGGCTTTTGATTTGGTGGGGAGAAAATTCCGGTCAATACAACGGGTATCTGCAAGCAAACATAAATAACATATTTGATCACAGTCAAATAAAAACTGCTTCTCCCATTACTTATTAAGTTGCTTTTTTGCTAATACTGTCATAGAATAACAGAATAACAGAGTTGGAAGGGACCTTGGAGGTTTTCTAGTCCAACCTCCTGCTCAAGCAGGAAACCCTATATCATTTCAGACAAATGGTTGCCAATTTCTTCTTGAAAACCTCTAGTGTTGAGCACCCACAACTTCTGGAGGCAAGTCGTTCCACTGGTTAATTGTTCTAACTGTCAGGAAATTTCTCCTTAGTTCTAGTTTGGATTTCTCCTTGATTAGTTTCCATCTATTGTGGTGTTTTGGAGAATAGGTTGACCCCTTCTTCTTTGTGGTAGCCCCTTAGATATTGCAACACTGCTATTCATATAATATAATATCATATCATATCATGTAACAATTGAAAGGGATCTTCATCTGTATCAGCCCTCCATCCAATTAACCTACTATTACAGCATTCTCCACAGATGACCGCCCAGCTTCTGTTAAAATATTTCCATTGAAGGTGTGGTTCTGCCATCTCTCAAGTCAGTCTGTTCCATAGTTCATAAGTTCTTACCTAGGACTTTCTCTTGTATGACCAACCAAAATCTACTACCTTGTGATTTAAACTCCTTGTTCCTTGCCTTATTTTCTGGGCAGCCCTGAAGCAGAACCGGAAATTTCCAGTTCTGCCTCATCTTCAGAGTCTTAAAGGTGTAGGAGATGACCAGGCTGAGCCTGAGGGAGGGGTCAAATGCATCATCAGTCATGAATCCCTGCGTGCCCACAAGAGATCTAAGTCCATCCCACCTCAAATACTTTAATTCCCACTCATTTCCCTTGACCATTAGTAGCCCAGATTCTTGTAGACAGCTTAAACTTGCAATAAATCTTTATACTCTGCCTGAACTGAACTGCTTGAATCTCTTGATTTCCCCCATGCTTGACAAAAGGCAGCTATCAGGTCTCTCTCTAGCTTTCTCTTCTCCATACTAAAGATACACAATGCCTTCAGCTATTTCTCATTTTTCTTCCAGACCCTTATTATCCTGGTTGCCCTGTTCTGGATTTGATCCAGATTGTCAATATTCTTTTAAAAATGTGAGTCAGTTTTGGATACGAGATTCTAGGTCATATAAGCATTTCCGAGGGAGGAGAGGCAAGAGAGGATATGACAAAATGGCTTAACATCATCATCATACAAATGTTGGAAGTTATATATTCAGAGATCATTTTAGTATCATAGTTTAGTATCATAGTATCGTGACAATGTGATAAATTAAAAGAAATAAAATAAATAGACAATCCAACCTGTCTTTTTCTTTATCACAAGAGGTTCTTCAGAAACCATGCTGAAACTGTCTCCATCAGGGAGACCTAGCTCATAAAGACTAAGCTATAAAGTGGCTCATTGATCTTTAGCTAAAAAAGTGTCTATCTGCCTATTGTGGTATATTATTATTAGTGAACCCAGCCTGTCATACTTGCTCAAAGAACCAGGATTAATAAAACCTGGCTTAATTTTATGTGGGTTTATTTTCAGTTATGGGTTGAGAAACATTCCTTTTATAGACTAAGCTCATGAAACTAAGTAATCTGTTGATTAGCATGTTGTAGAGCCCAACTGCTGTCTTGAGATGTTGGGTTAACCAGGCCAATATGTTATACTGTGATTTGTTTTTTGGGGGTGTAGCATGCTATGTAAAGAGAGCAGTTATGTGGCATGAAGCCAGGTTAAATGTATTGTGTAAAGCCAGTTGGACTATATAGCAGGTATTGCTTATTTTTAAAATGTTGACATTTATTTATATCTATTTACAATTTAGTAAATTTATAGCTTATCTGTCTTCAAGGGACTTGGCTTCCTTCCTTCCTTCCTTCCTTCCTTCCTTCCTTCCTTCCTTCCTTCCTTCCTTCCTTCCTTCCTTCCTTCCTTCCTTCCTTCCTTCCTTTCTTTCTTTTGCTGTATTGTTATTCTATTTGAATCACCCAGAGACACATGACAGCAAGAAGGATGGCATATAAATTTAATAAATCAATCAATCATTTTCCCCCCAAGGGTGGACAGCTGACATAACAATGGGAAAGCTGAAGTTTGAAAATCTCCCTTTTTTTTTTTTTAGCAAAAGCAGTTGGAGATCTTTTTATAGATGAACGTGTTCACACTTGGACACACAGGGACACAGACCTACAGACTGTGGTTTATCTTTCACAGCAAATGGTTTCCAGGTAACATTAAAGAAGATGAACATTGATAAGACACAGTTTCAAGGGGAACTGATCAGCAGTTCTGAAGTCAAGAAACGAATGCAGCTCAACCAGGAAAAAAAATAGCACGTAAAAAAAACTGTAAGTCCTTCTAAAAAGCATCAAAAGCATAGGAGAACAGAACAGAACACAGGATGAGAGTTTATTTACTTATCAGATTTATACTCTGCCTTTCTTCAGGAAGTTTATCATAGTAAAAAACAAAACCTTTTCTTCTTCAACATTAAGCCCATAATTGTCAGGCACAAGGAATAAAAAATGACAAAATGAACTGATCAAAGTGATATGTTATTGCTGCTCGCCTATAGACAGGAATCTTGCCAGACTAAAGTACACACTGCATAACTACTAGATAAATACTGCTAAGTTTTAGGGAGGATCTCCCTTCAGCCTCTTCCTCCCCACAAGAGACTCAACTGTTACATTCCTCTCCTCCCCTCAATGCTAGATTCCACCAAAATTTCACAAAGATGGTTACGCTAAGAGAGGGGGAGACTGTCCTAAAGTCATCCAATTTGACCTTTCTGTATCACATGTCTGTACTCTAGAAAGAGTACAGAGACTATAGAAAGTCTCTAGAGAAGAGCAACAAAGATGATTAGGGGACTGGAGGCTAAAACATATAAGGAACGGTTGCTGGAATTGGGTATGTCTAGTTTAAGGAAGAGAAGGACGAGGGGGGACATGATAGCAGTGTTCCAATATCTCAGGGGCTGCCACAAAGAAGAGGGAGTCAAGCTATTTTCCAAAGCGCCTGAAGGCAGGACAAGAAGCAATGGGTGGAAGCTAACCAAAGAGAGAAGCAACCTAGAACTAAGGAGAAACTTCCTGATAGTTAGAACAATTAACCAGTGGAACAACCTGCCTCCAGAAGCGGTGAATGCTCCAACACTGGAGGTTTTTAAGAAGAGACTGGACAGCCATTTTTCTGAAATGGTATAGGTTTCCTCAGTGGTGGGATTCAACCGGTTCGCACCACTTCGGCAGAACCAGTAGCTAATTTTTTGTTGCCCAGTCCCAGAATGGACTTCCAGAAGGGGCATCCATACAGAGAACCGGTTGTTCACATATTTGAATCCCACCACTGGGTTTCTTGCCTGAGCAGGGGGTTGGTCTAGATGACCTCCAAGGTCCCTTCCAACTATTATTATTATTATTATTATTATTATTATTATTATTATTATTATTATTGTTGTTGTTGTTGTTGTTGTTGTTGTTGTTGTTGTTATTACTACTACTATTACTATTACTACTATTATGTCAGATTTGAAACTGGGTGCCAATTCAGCATACTGTGAGAAGTTTTATATCAAAATATATTTTATTCTTCATACTGTTTCCATCTTCCTTTAAAACATTAACAGAATTTCACAATGGACTAAGAATCAGTGTCTCCACTAGATAATTGACAATAAAACTGAAACTAACTTAATCAAGTAAAAATAAAAAACAGGGAATATCTTTTACTCAAACTTCTTCAAACCCCCAAATAAGTTACCCAAATGTAATCCATATATCAAAGGATAAGGTCTGCAAATACAAATAGAGTCAATTAAGTCTCCCAGTGGAACTTCATATTCACACCAAAACAACTTCCCCTATAAAAGTATGTTGCTATATACCCCATTTCTCTACAGCTGCCTCTAAAGGCAAACTCTTTGCTTTTAAAAATAAATATTTCTTCTTTCCTCAGAGCTGTCTGGATCTCATTTTTATTTATTCTTGCACAGCCCTGGTTCAAGTTGGAACCCCAAATTATTCTTCTGACAATACTAACTGCTACACCACATCAATTTGAATTCTATCCCACCCCACCTTATCATATAGGCCCTTGGATACTTTTACTGGTATGTTAAATTACACTAAAAAAACAGGAGAGGGCCACTAGAAACAAACTATTCTAACCATGAGGTGAACACAATGAAATGTGTGTGGTGATGTACATAACGCAAGGTCCACCTTTTTAATTTGCGTTGCAAATATATATATGAAGTGGGGCTTGTGTCACCATGTGCAACTTGTGTTTCACCCTTTGCTCCATCCTTTGTGTCCACCTGCCCCTGCGGGGGGAAATGACAAAAAGTAGGCAATTTCCAGATGTGTGGACTTTACTTTACAGAATTGTCCAGCCAGGATGACCATAGGTGATAATTCTGGAAGTTGAAATATGGAAGTGTAAGTCTACACCAGTGCTTCCCAACCTTGGCCATTTTAAGATGTGTGGACTTCAAATCCCAGAATGGCAATAGCAATAGCAATAGCACTTAGTATTATACACTGCTTCATAGTGCTTTATAGCCCTCTTTAAGCAGTTTACAGAGTCAACATTATTGCCCCCAATAATCTGAGTCCTAATTTTACTGACCTCAGAAGGATGGAAGGCTGAGTCAACCTTGAACCGGTCAGGATCGATCTGCTGGCAGTGAGCAATGAGTTAGCTAAAATATTGCATTCTAACCACTGCGCCACCACAGCTCTTATTTAATGGACACATTTCTTATTTAATGGACACATTTCAAAAATGCTGGCTGAGGTATTCTGGAAGTTGAAGTCCATACATCTTAAAATGGCTAAAGTTTGGGAAACATTGTTCTATAATGTTGTTTAAATAGTAAAATTCTGTCTTCCTTCCTCAATCCCCGTGGTGTTTGTATGTGTATTTATTCTATAAATATTAATATAATGATAGATGATATGAGTACAAGCAACGTAAGTGTCAACCGACTCTCTTATACCTTGGACTGGAGTTTGATAAACAAAGCGATGGTCTTCGGCATTTGAAACTTCAGCCCTATTGTTGACATTTTCAAGACTGCTGCAAAATGATCTGTCAGAACTATTATGGAGCGGGAAATTAATTGTTGCAAAACCGCAGTGGCATTGAGGTCTTCTAATAACCGCCAAAGGGAATTCCTAATCAAGAAGAAAGTGAAGAAAATTAGGCTGTCAACCATAGTGGCAAACATCAGTAAATACCAGCTACTTTCTTAAAAATATATTCACCCAATTTATATAGCCACCTATGTCACCATAAGTAACTCTGGACAGCATTCAACAATCAAGTAAAATCACAATATAAAAACATCATTGTAAAAATATAGACAATAAAATTGTTAATAATTTAATCATTAAAAAATAGAGTATGCAAACCATAAACAGAAAAGTATAGTTAGCACATATCTACCATATACAGAGAGCCAATTTGGTCTAGTGTTTAAGACACCAGGCTAAAAACTAAAGGCCTGAGTTCTAGTCCTGCCTTAAGCATGAAAACCAACTGGGTGACTTTGGGCCATTCACCAGGAGACTGAGTTCTAATCCTGCCTTAGGCATGAAAGCTACCTGGGTGACTTTGTGCCAGTTACTCTCTCTCCGCCCAATTTATCTCACAGAGTTGTTGTGTGGGAGGAAAAAATAGGAGAAGGAAGGAGTATTAGGTATGTTTGATTCCTTGAATTATTTATAAAAATAATAAAGGTGGCATTAAAAATCTAAAATATTTTTAAGTATTATCCCCAAGAGGCAGCCTTAACATGTCACCATCTCCCCCAACCTGGTGACATAACCAGATCCCGAAGGACTTTATGAACATTAGCAGGGATGAAGCTACCCTAACTAATGAGAGAAATTAAGTTCTGCACTCTTTTGAATTTCATTTTCAGTGTGTTGGGGCCTTTTGGGGTAGATTGTGTCAGATGAAGAGGATTAATGAGCGTGTCAGCTGACAAAAATTCTCTAACTGTACAATTTCATGCAATATATATCTACTTTGAAGTAAACTCCATTGAGTTCAATGAGACTCACCCCAGCTAACACATAGTGAAGGATAGCCCTTGTAGATTATTTATTTTTATTTAGAAAATTTATATTGCCGCCTACTCACACAAGGCAACTCAAGGCGGCTTACAGGACATAAAAGCACAATATAAAAGAAATAAAAATAATAAAAAAATAAAAATAATAAACTAATAACCCCCCACCCCAATGATAAGTGATAAGACCTGACCTCAGATATTCATTTTGACACAAAACAATATATTAAAGATGCATACATCTATAAATAGGTCAAAGTAATTATTATGATTCAAGAAAAAAATATTCAAATCTAATTCCCAATTGGATATTCTCTCCCAACCGTGTATCTATTCATAAGTCCACTCTATGAGCTTGTTCTGATTTTGCATTAAACCTACATTTTTATCTAAAGAAAGAAATTGTGTTTGTAATAATGTAAGGGTATTTGAATAAATACGTGTGCTAATGATGAGAAGAATTTTTACTGATCTGTATTTAATGATAGGCAGGGCAATGTTAAAGAATGCTGAAATTATCAAACAATTGCACATATTGCAAATGCTTATAAAATAATCCTCAGGGTTTTACAAAACAGACTTCATGGAATGAGAACTGTCAAGAATAAAATTCAGAAAAGGAAAGGATAGCATTGCTTAGCATCTGATGGATCATAGAACAAACAAGGGAATTCAAAAGTATGCCCATTTTTCATTCATTTTAAGTCTTTTGGATGGATTACAGCTAATTACGCATAGTGTTTAAAAACATGGATACAACAAACCAGTTCAACTGCTCATTATACAATTTGGATGATGAGCAGGAAATGAATCTTGAATCATAGCAATTACTTTGACCTACAGTCAGAATATAACAGTGGCAAAGAGTTTACCATTGGGAGACCTGAAAGACCAGGTTAGGGATAGATTATCTTGAGAAAATCTACCTATGTGATCATTAGGAATCGACAATGACCTCATGGCCCTTTATAATCAGTTGGTTTAAAATGGAAAAGAAATATGTCAAGGTTGCATATAGTCACCTTCCTTCTGTAGTATCTATGTCAGGGCTTTTCAACCTTTTCACCCATTGTACCACCTTTGGGATATGGCAATATCCGAGTACCACCAGTCACCTAGCAAGGTGTCAAAAACCTGATGACCCCCCCCAAAAAAAGGAAAAAAGTGATAAAGTACAGGTAGTCCTCGACTTACAACAGTTCGCTTAATGACTGTTTGAAGTTACAATGGCACTGAAAAAAGTGCCCTCCAAGCCACAGCCGAGCAAGACACCTGTCTGCCTGCCCGGTGGCACTCTTCCTCCTGTCCGAGGTTTTCATTGTTATGAGCATTTCTGTTGAGGATTGGCAGCGGGGGTGGGGTGGGGGGTGTTTGGTTTTTATTCCCCCCTATCTGCTGGATGGTTGCAGCAGTTTTGGTCACTTTACATGACTCTGGGGCACTGTGACCGTCATAAATATGAATCAGTTGCCAAGCATCTGAATGTAAATCACAAGACTCTGGAGATGCTGCAACATTCCAGCTGATCGGTGCTTCTTCTGGGCTCAGCAGAAGCGCCAGGATCAGCGCCGGGCTCCAGCTGGAGCCTGGCGCTGATCCTGGCACTTCCACTGACAGTCCCGAAGAAGCGCTGATCCTGGTGCTTCTGCTGAGCCCTGACAGCCCTGCAGCTCCAGCCATCTCTCGCTCAGGCTTGTGCAGTGCTGCCACCAGTTCAGCTCATTCCCCTCCCCCACTACCACTTTTCTAGGATGGTCATGTACCACCTGCCAGGTGCCAATGTACCACAGGTGGTACCCATACCACTGGTTGAAAAGCCCTGATCTATGTAGACAGAACCTTGTCCTCTTTAAGATGGGTGGACTTCAATTCCCAGAATTCCCCAGCCAGCAATGGGAATTGAAGTCCACCCATCTTAAAGAGGACAAAATTGGGAAACTCTGATGTAGAACAGGTCATGAGAAATGACAAAGTAGAAACTAGAATTACAATTGCTAGGAGAAATGTCCACAAACTAAGATATGGGGCTAGGGTTTCAGATTACAGTTAGTCCTCTACCTATAACCATTCTTTTAGTGACTGTTCAAAGTGACTTATGACTGTTTTTCACACTTACAACCATTGCAGCATCCTCATGGTCACGTGATCAAAATTCAGATGCATGGCAACTGGTTTGTATTTATGAGGGTTGCAGTGTCCCAGGGTCACGTGATCAGCTTTTGTGGCCTTCTAACAAGCAAGTCAACGGGAAAGCCAGATTCACTTAACAACTGTGTTACTAATTTAGCAACTGTAGAGATTCACTTAACAACTGTGGCAGGAAAGGTCATAAAATAGGGTAAAAAGATTACTTAATAATGGTCTTGCTTTCCGAAAGAAATTTTGGGCTTAATTGTGTTTGTAAATTGAGGACTACCTGTATGTTGTTTTGTAGATTATTCTTGAAAGTTTTTGTATTTAGGTGGTTTTAACCTTAATATTACTATATGTATGATTGTAATTGCTCAAAATTTGATTGAAATAGTACAGAAGTCCAAATACATATATACATAAAGGAGCCACTATTTTGATGGACAGAAGCATCCAGGGAGACTTTTTGTGTTGAAGATGACAAAATGCAAAAACTGCACAAAATTAATAACTCAGTCTATGTCAAGAGGCAACATCAATGCCCCACAAAGTGGTAAAGAAGAGGTTGAAATATTATTATTATTATTATTATTATTATTATTATTATTATTATTATTATTATTATTATTATTA